GCGACCACCCCGCGCGTGCCCACCACGGCCTGGGCCCTGGGCAGGCACCACCACCTCAGGGTACCCACTTCCCTTAGCACAGCTGGCGGTGGGGTGGAGCGGTGACATTCAGCGTGTGTGGCGGTGGACAGCAGAGTCCCAGCATCCAGCCTGGACGGGAGGGTTGGCAGCTGGCACGAGGCTGGGCTGCCCCCGGGGAGGCGAGCGCCTTTCCGCACAGGCTCCTTCCGGCGTGGGGGGCGCACGCACCCGGTGTCAGGCTGTGACCGGGCCCCTGCCTCTGGGGTGTGAGGCTCAGGATGGGTCCTGGGACCTCAGAGGGCTGGGCAGCTGCTCTGATGCGTGTTCCCTGTATCTGTACACCCCGGGCACTTTCGCAGGCACGGCCACGGGCAGCGGGTGGCCACTGTGGTGGCCTGGTTGCCACGCTGTCCTCCGCGCCTGTGCAGCTGCCTGTGTGTGGTTTCTACCTGTGTCTTCCGTCTGTTCTTCCAACAGTAATAAACTCTCGTCTCTCACTGGACTGCTTCAAACTCTTCTCTTCTTCATTTGAAAATGTGTTTCTCCTTTAGAAAACTACAGTTCCACTTTCTTTAATCTAGGGAAAGTCGTATACACTTTGAGTTTACCTAAATATACTGGCTTTGAACAATAACCCATTCACTCCACCGGCTTCTCAGGCCCTTGCGTGTGAGCCAAGTGCAGCTGGGTGCCAGGGAGCCGGTGGCCAACTCTGCCCCCGTCCAGTCCCTGTCCTGGCCCCCAGGAGCGGTTGGAACGCGGCTCGGCCGGGCTCCTCTGCCCCAAGCACGGAGGCCCTGGCTCTCCTCGCCTGGCCCTTCTTTCGCAGCACCGGAGCCGGGAGCCCATGGCTGCCTGCGTGTCCCTCGGCCAGCAGCAGAGCTGCCCACAGGCGCGGAGCCCCCTGCTCACCCTCGGCCTCGTGGCAGCTGCACCGGGGGTGAGCAGACCATGCGGTGACCCGGGGCAGCCTCCCTGCTGCGGCCTGACGAAGTGGCGCTGGTACAAAGGCCGTCCCGAGCAGGCGATGGCTCCTCAGCCTGTGCCCTGCGGGCTTCCCGGAGGCGCTGGCCCCTCAGTGAGTGCTTGAGGCTCCTGTGTGCTGCGGGCGCCCGTCTGGCTGTCTGTCCGGCAGTCTGTTTGGCCGTCTGTCAGCACCCTGGCGGTGGCGACTCTCTCTGAACACTGACTCCCGCTCTGGGGCAGCACCCCTCTCAGCCCCTCTCAGCTGCTCCCCGACTCTCGTGGCTGCCCTGAAACACTTCCCAGTGACGCAGTGGCCACCGCTGCCGTCGTCCCGGGTGAGAAACACCACGGAGATGGCCGGGTCCGCTACGTGGGAGCCGCCTGGCTGTGAGGCCGAGACTCCTCGTGGGGCCCGGACACGGGGCACCTCCCACCGGCTCACGACTGCTCCAGGTGGCTCTTGAGAAAAAAGCTGGGCCAGAGCCCTTCCCAAGAGCCCAGGTTTCAGTGCTGTGTGGGCGTCTCTGTGGTGTGTGTTTGTATCTTGGCATAAACATCCAAGTCACCTGTGGTAGGGAAAGCCCCAAGTGTGGCCCGGCCTGTGGACTGTGGCCTTGGGCAGCTGAGGTCTTCAGCCCTGGCTGGAAGTGCTCTTCTGGATGGCACAGAGGACAGAGGCGCCCCAGGGCCCGGGAGCTGGAACCTTCATCCCCAGGACGGTGTCCTCCGTGGGCAGTCCCAGCCTTTGGTTTCCACTGACCATCTTGGGACTGAGGGCCACCTGTGTGAGTCCCTATGCCCTTGTGGCCTGGCCCCGGGGCCTGTAGCCGGCTCATCTCCTCCAGAGGTGGGGTGCTGCCCTCGGTGGCCCTGCCGGGCCCCACACTCGAGTGCCCAGGGGCATGGGTGTCTGCTGCCCTCCTCTCCCAGACCCCAGGCCCCTGGCAGAGCCGTCCTTAGCCCTCCGGGGCCTGGCTCACAAGGCCCCTGGAGGCCAGGTCGGGGCTCAGCTGAGAAGAGGCTGACGAGGCCTTGGCCAGGCTGAGGCTGAGCCCGGAGGCCTCCTGTCCCCATGTCCCACTGCCGGGGCCCCAGAGGGTGTGTCAGGTCCTGGAGTGGCTCTTGGGAGGCTGGCCCTCCTCATGGTTATCCCTGTGGATGTCTGGGATGAACCCCCCCTCTGTGCCCCCAACATATCCCACCTTCCCTCCCTCGTGTCCAGCTGGGTGGCCGGCCCCTCCCTGACCTGCTCCCAGCCCCTTGCCCCCCGGCCTGCCAGCGTGCCACCTTGTTCTGCGGTGCCCCTCACCTCCCTGGTCCCTGTCTGGCACACTGCCGCACTGGGTCATGGACCCTGCCACTGTTTGAGGCCCTTTGACCCAGCCCCGCCCCTTCCTGAGCTGGGCCCTGGGGAAGGCGGCCATGACCTCGGTGCCCAGGGAGCTGGGCTGGGGAGCTCCGGGCCTCTGTGGAAGGCTGGGGTGGGTGGTGGCAGGGCCCTGGCCTCCAGCTCTCTTGGGCTCCCCATGCGCAGGTGTCCTGGCCCCGCAGAGGGCAGGGCAGGGCAGGGTTAGGCCGTGCAGAGGCTGGAGCACAGGGAGGATTCAGGGAGAGGCTGCATCCCCGTATGCAGCAGGGCTGGAGTCCATGGACAGCCGTGCCCTGCAGGGCCAGGCCTGCACGTCCAGGGTTCCTGTGAGCCTGGGGCCTTGAGGACAGGCGAGGCACTGGGTGGGGCGGGGCCGGGGTGGCACCATGCTGACCCAGTCCAGCCCTGAGCAGAGTCTCCACAAGGGGCTGGGTGGCTGAAGGACCCAACCCGGGTGGTCCCACAGAGGATGGGTTGGTAGGGCACCGGGCACAGGGCTTGGGTGGTACAGTCATGCTGCTCCCATGCGCTCAAGCAAGACTGGCCAGGCAGGCAGGAGGTCCTGGGCCATGGCCCTGGTCCCTGTGATTTCCGTGGCCCCTGCAGAAGCTGCCCCATCCTCACACCGTCCTCACTGTCCCAAGTACTCCAGCTGTCTAGGGCTGAGGGGGCTGAGCCCCAGCGCTGTAAGACTGGGCAGGGCATCCTGAGAGGGTGATGGGCCAGGCCTCCCTCACTCCCTGGCCGTCTCCAGGCCTTGTCGCCATGGGGGACAGGGGAGGTCTGTCCATGAGGGATACCAACCTTGGCAGCTGGGTAAAGTGAGGCCGGAGATGGCAGCTGGGCCCCAGGCACCTTGGGGAGGGTTAGTGTCAAAGGGGCAGAGGTGGGGCTCCCTGAGGGAGAGGACCCCAGGCAGCTGGACAGGCGAAGGACCAGGACTGGGGGCACTGATGGTGCCTTGGAGAAATGAGGGTCACACGGGGTGGGAGGATGAGGTGCCAGGGCCTCAGCAGGTAGCCAGTCTGTCCCTGAGCTGCAGTGGGGTGCTGAGCTGGGTGAGGGGGGTTGCTGGAGGCTGCTGCACCCCAGTGCTTTTCCCTTCTGCTTTGAGCCGGAGCCCTGCTCTGTCCCTGGGTCATGCTGGGCAGGGCCCCAGCCCAGGAACAGCTACCCTGAGGCTGGAGAGACCCCCAAGACCAGGAGCTGCAGGGCTGGGAAAGGCTGTGGTGTGTGGCTCTGGCCTGGTCCTGTGTGGGGTCTCCCAGCACCCTGGCCACCTTGTGCTCGGCAATGCCAAGGTCTCTCTGGCCCAGGCCAGGGACCCCGGTACAGTTGGGGTGCCAGGACTGGGCCAGGGGTGACAGCTTCTCTCCTCCCTGTGACAGGAGGCGAGGTCCACAGCAGCCGAGGCCTCCCGGTCAACAGGATCTTCGACGTGGACCTTGTTGCTGGCGTGGCACCCGGCGTGTGGCCAGGCCCTGGGAGGCTGAGGCCATTTGGGGGCCAAGAGTCAGACCTTTCTGGCCAGAGCCTTGGGCCTGGCATCCCCACCCAGGCGCGGCCCAGTGCCCACCATGCCACCTTCGTCTGAAGCTGTCCTTCCCAGGCTGGCCTGGCCTGGCCTGGCCGTACCTCACTCAGACCCCAGTGGGGCCCCAATCGTTGCTCTCTGGAGGAGGTTTGTCAGCCACATCCTGTGAGCCATGGGGAGGATGGGTGACCTTATCCCCTGCCAGCCCTGCACTGCCCCTGGAACCTAGATGCCCCCCAATAAAGCTTTTGAGGACACTGCTGGGTCTCGTGCTGAGCGCCGGGACATGGGGTTGGCCCAGGAGGGGCTGTTGGCAGTGGTGCCCGCACCCAGGACCCCAGGTGTGCAGGAACAGAGGTGCCATCGGGCCCCCCAGCCCTGCTGGCTCCCAGCCTGACACAGGCCACATCCCACTCCTCTTGGGGACCTGCTGCGGTGCTTGGGCAAGGGCTGTCCTCCATGGGCATGGTGGTCCCCTCCACTGAGGCCGAGGGGACCTCTGTCCCTGTGCCCATGTCCCCTGCCCTCGGCTTCATCTGGAGGGCATCTGGAAGGCCTGGAGGGTGACAGCGGCCTGAGTGAAAGTCATTGGCAGAGCGGGCACAGTGTGGGCTGGCCCTGGGCAGAGCCTGGGTACAGCGAGTCAGGTTAGGGGCAGAGTCCGCCCAGGTGCGGGAGCCCATGGAGGGCACCGTTGGCCATCACCAGGCACAGTAGGGTCTGGCACCAAGAAGCGGCTCTGGGGCCAGCAAGGCCGCTGGACAGTTCTACCCTAGGTGTGGAGGACATCAGAATGGGGTACAGGAGACCAGCACCCCTGTGTATGGAGCCCGTACCAGCACCGTGAGCCCAGCACCACTGCCCCAGGACCACTGGGCCCCCAGCACCACTGTGTTTAGGACTCACTATGTCCAGCACCACTGTGCCCCCAGCATCACTGTGCCCAGCTGGGTACATGGTCCCCACCCTGGCAGAGGAGAGTGGAGGTCCAGAGAGTGAAGGTTCAGGTACCCAGCAAGACAGCTCCATGCTGAGCCCATGCCCAGGCCGCGCTGGGGTCTGAATCTCCCCCATTATGCCCATGGGCCTGCTGACAGCTGTGCCCCAGCCCCGCGTGGGGGGTGCTCCTCAGGTCACCCAGGCTAAGCAATGGATGCCCAAGGGTGGGCAGGGGAGGGAGAGGACGGCCAGGGTCCAGACCCCTGAGTTAGGATGGGGACATGGAGGCAGCAGCGGGTTCCATTCTGGGGCTGAGCACAAGCGCCCTCACCATACATACCCGGCTGGCTGTGGGGCGGGACGGTCAGGTGCTGACTCTGCACGGAGACAGAATGACAGACACACCAGGCCTGTGGCCAGGCAGGGACAGCACTGGGCGGGAGTGCAGGCCCTCACTGTCCCCATCAGCCTGGAAGAGGCTCCCAGTGGAGACAGGGCATGGTCAGATCCATTGTGCCCTGGCAGGCAGGGTGCGTGGCAGGGGCACTGGTGTGATGGGCTGCTGGGTTAATCATTGCCTTGTGGCCTTGACCCCCTGGCTGTCCCGCCTCTCGCTGCTCCGTGAGCCCTTCGGAGGAGCCATGGGGAGCTGGGCCTGGGTCCCACACCCCTGCCCCCCATCCGGGCTGTGCCCACTCCTGTTGCTTCTCCTGCTGCTGCCCTGGAGGGCTCAGCCCCAGGCTGACGAGGTGAGACTGCCCCACCTGCTCAGTGTGCCCAGTGGGTTCCTGGGATGGGAGTGGGGCCTGAACAGGGTGGCATGGAGGTGAGGGGGGTGCAGGCTGACCTGGTTGGGCCCCTCCTAGGGCTGTGGGTGTGGATGCCAGGGGCCCCAGTGGGTCTCGATGTTTGGAGAGGAGGTGGGGTCTCGTGAGCCCTCAACTACTTCCACCACCCCAGAATTGACCCAGGGACCAGCAGAGGACAGCCCCCCGCCCCCCAGGCCTCAGGATGTCCAGACGCAGGGCCCTGGGAGCCCGGGGCCTGAGTGTGCAGCTACCGTCCTGACTGATACCATGGCCCTCGGTCCTAGAACCACACGGAGGCCCCAGGACCCAATGCTACAGCCATCCCTGGAGGCCCCCTGATTCCTGTGACCTTGGTGACTCCCACGACCCCAACAAGGAGTGCTGCAGAGAAAGAGGGGCCCCAAAGTGGGGAGCACCCCAATCCAGCCAGGCTCGCCCCCTCCAACAGCAGCCTCGGGGGTCAGGGTGCGTAGGGTCTCAGGGTCAAGTGCATACCAGGTGGTCAGCCATGGGGTGCATGGGGGTAAGTGGGGTGCACAGGGAATGGGGAGCCTGACGGGCAGGCTGGTGTGAGTGGGAACCCCGACCTGCCACCCCTCCCGCCCACAGTGCTCACAGAGGCTGGGCAGCCCTGCAGGTTCCCGTTCCGCTACGGTGGGCGTATGCTACACACCTGCACCCTGGAGGGCAGCGCCCACAGGAAGTGGTGGGTCATGGGGCCACCCCAGCAGGTAGGCGGGGCAACTGGCGTGTTCCGTGGGTTGTGGCTAGGAACCCCGTACCCCTGCATCGCCCCCAGGTGTGCAACGACTCACAACTATGACCGGGACAGGGCCTGGGGCTACTGTGTGGAGACCACCCTGCCTCTGCAGGGCCCAGGTAGGTGAGGTGGGGACAGCCTGCAGAGGGAGGGTCTGGGAGTCAGGGTCACACTGCTGAGTGGGTGGAGCCCCTGGGAGACTGCTGGACTGGTGTGAGTGTCCCCCTGGAGTGGCAGAGGGCCAAGTTCATCCCACTGCCAGCTCTGGAGGGACCTGTCCTCCACCAGCCTGGTGGTAGCCAAGCCAGTGGCAGGGCCACAGCACCCTCTGGTGGTGCAGCCCAGCTCTGTAGCCACAGAGGCAGTTTGGGACAGGGCAGGTGTGGCTGCAGGGCACACAGGAGAATCCTGCTGCCTGGCAGTGTGGCTGTTGGCTTTCTAGGACACCGAGTGCAGGGATGTGGGCACAGCTGCCCGAGTGCCGGGTGGGAGCCCTGGAAGGAGGGGCCTGTCCCTCCCCTGGGCACGCGCACTCAGGGAGCTCGGGTGGGTGGCAGTTTGGGGTCCCAGTGGTGGCTCCTGCTGAGCCCTGAGGACTCCTGCCCTCTCCTGTCCCCAGCTGCCCCGGACCTCTGTGCCTCTGCCCCCTGCCTTAATGGGGGCATCTGCTCCAGCTCCCAGGACCCCACATCGTACCTCTGCACCTGCCCCCCAGCCTTCACAGGCGGGGACTGTGGCACTGGTGAGGGGCCTGGGGACCCTGAGGGTCACTGGGGAGGACAGTGGGCGGGGAGAGCTGCTGTTGCGGAGGGGCCCGGGGGCTGCGGGGAGCAGGGGTGAGGGCTCACTGCGTGACCCCCAGCGAAGTGCTTCGATGAGACCCGTCACGAGCACCTGGAGCCGGGTGACCGCTGGGCCCGTGTGCACCAGGGCCGCGTGGAGCAGTGTGACTGTGTGGGTGGCCAGGTGCGGTGCAAAGGCACCCGTCACACAGGTACGCAGTGCCGTGCCAGCTCGGGGTGCCTGGGCAGTGGGGGGTACCCTGGGCTCCCGGCAGAGCTGCTGAACCTCCCCAGCATGCCTGAACAGCCCGTGCCTGAACGGGGGCACCTGCCACCTCATCGTGGGCACCGGAACCAGCATCTGCGCCTGCCCTCCGGGCTATGCTGGGCGGCTTTGCAACATTGGTGAGCCACGTGGCTGCCTGGCCTTTGGGCTGCGGGAAGGCAGGCCCCGGGGCTTGGCCTCACCACTGGCCCCGTCCTGCCGCCTGCAGTGCCTTCTGAGCGCTGCTTCACGGGAAACGGCACTGAGTACCGCGGTGTGGCCAGCACGGCGGCTTCAGGACTGGGCTGCCTAGCTTGGAACTCTGACCTGCTCTACCAGGAGCTGCACGTGGACTCGGTGGGCACCGCTGCCCTGCTGGGCCTGGGACCACACGCCTTCTGCCGGTCAGCTCCCGCGGCCTATGTGGGGCTGGGCCCCTCCATCCCTGCGGCTGTGCCCATGGCTCCTCATCTCCCCAGGAACCCAGACGAGGATGAGAAGCCCTGGTGCTACGTGGTGAAGGACCACGCACTCTCCTGGGAGTACTGCCACCTGACAGCCTGCGGTAAGGCCTGGGGCACGGCTGGGCCAGGCGGAGGGGGCACTGGCGGTGCCTTAAGTTGGACTGGGCAGGTGGCCTCCAGGGGCCCGGGCTGTCGACAGGCCTCCCAGCAGCCCTGCGCAGCCCTGGTCTCCACGGCCGCGCCTTAGCGTTCTGCTCTTCACTTGCAGAACTGGAGCCTGAGGCTCCAAGGGGCCGTGTGCCAGCAAGGGCCGGGCACAGGAGAGGCCGGTGGGTGCAGACTGGGCCTTTGTGGGCCAGGAGTGACCTGGTGACCTGTGCCCCCAGAATCCCCGGCCAGAGTCCATCTGCCGTCCTCCGTGTTCCTGGCTGCGCGGCCCGAGGTGGCCCCAGCCCCACGCCCAACCTGTGGCAGGAGGCACAAGAAGAGGACTTTCCTGCGGCCGCGCATCGTCGGCGGCTCATCCTCACTGCCCGGCTCCCACCCCTGGCTGGCTGCCATCTACATCGGGGGAGGCTTCTGCTCGGGGAGCCTCATCCACACCTGCTGGGTGCTGTCTGCTGCCCACTGCTTCTTCCACAGGTGAGCGGGAGACCCGCCAGCATCCCCAGGGAGCACCAGCCTCCACCCAGCGTGGGCCGCGCCAGGGCTCGGTGACAGCCTGCAAGGGAGCCCCCCGCCCCATCTGTGCACAGCTGGGGAAACTGAGGCCAGCCCATTCGGCAGGGATTGAGGGTCCCCCACCTCCTGCCCGGAGGCCGCAGCCCTGAGACTCAGGCCGGCGGGGTGGGCAGCCGGACACACTCCCAGCCCCACGCCCCACCCAGGAGGGGACGGTCTGGGCTGCTCCACACTCTCAGTGCCCTGCTCTGGATCCGTCCCTGCTGGGCTCAGGTCTTGCCCTGCAGAGGGAAACTGAGGCACAGATGGGGGCAGAGGGGCTGCCCACGGGCCCGGCTCTGCCCCGCAAGAGTGAGGGGTTGTTTGCGGGGTGGCCACAGCTGGGGTACGGACGGCTGACCGGGGCTGGAGGAGAGGCTGGGCCCGGGCTCCCGCCAGCCCGCCTGCAGCCCCCCCAGGGCCAGCGTCTCGGTGGTGCTGGGCCAGCACTTCTTCAACCGCACCACGGAGGTGACGCAGACGTTCGCCATCGAGAGATACGTCCCCTACCCGCTGTACTCCGTGTTCAACCCCAGCGACCACGACCTGGGTGAGCGGGGGATCCGAGGGAGAGGAGGAAGTCGGGCGCAGCCTGCACCCACCCAGTCTGACCCCCGACCCCGCCCCAGTCCTGATCCGGCTGAAGAAGAAGGGCGACCGCTGTGCTGTGCGCTCCCAGTTCGTGCAGCCCATCTGCCTGCCTGAGCCTGGCAGCTCCTTCCCCGCAGGGCACAAGTGCCAGATCGCAGGCTGGGGCCACGTGGACGAGCGTGAGTGGGGTGGCCCCGGGGGAGAGGTGCCCGGTCCTTGGACCCTGCCCTGAGAGCGCCCTGTCCCCAGAGGCGAGTGGCCACGCCAGCTCCCTGCGCGAGGCACTGGTCCCCATCGTGGCCGACCACAAGTGCAGCAGCCCGGAGGTGTACGGCGCGGACGTCAGCCCCAACATGCTCTGTGCCGGCTACTTCGACTGCAAGTCCGATGCCTGCCAGGTGGGGCCAGGCCTGCTGTGCCAGGGGTGTGGGGGGGTCCTCCAGCGCCCCAGCAAGGTACCCAGATGGAAGGCCACACACACAAAGCCCATGTCCCGCCTCTGGCAGGGCCCGGGGCAGCCCCACCCCGGCCACAGCTGGGCCTGGACTCCTGTCCATCCAGTGCTCAGCTGTTCCAGGCTGCATAGCCCATGGCGACAGAGGAGAATCTGAGTCTCAGAGAGGTCAAATCTCTCCTCCAAGGCACAGCTCAGAGGGGCAGAGTGGGCGGGGTGGGGCCCTGCTGGCCGGGGCATCACGGAGGCTGTGTGGAGGAGGGGCATGCACTGAGAGAGGCAGGGCTTTTGTGGTGGCGAGGAAGTAAGTCGGGTAGGACAGCCAGTGCTGGGCTGCAGCATGCCCTGTGGCCCCTGTGGGGCACACTGCTGGCCCAGGGACGTGCTGTGGTCGTGGGGGGAGAGCAGGCAGGGTGCAGGCCAGGGCGTAGGGTCAAGGCCCTGGGCACTTGATGTCGCTATATGAGTCCCCTATCCCCAGGCTCAGTGTACAACTGGGGCTGGGCATGGGTGGCCCTGAGCCTTGTCTCTGCCCAGGGGGACTCTGGTGGGCCCCTGGCCTGCGAGAAGAATGGGGTGGCCTACCTGTACGGCATCATCAGCTGGGGCGATGGCTGCGGGCGTCTCAATAAGCCGGGTGTCTACACCCGCGTGGCCAACTACGTGGACTGGATCACTGACCGGATACGACCTGCCAAGCGGCCGGTACCCCCATCCTAGGCTCTGGGCAGCTGTGCCTTGCCTTCTCACCCCTGCCTGCCTCCAGGACAATAAAGATGGTTCCAAACCTGGCTGCACTGCCATCTGCTGCCTCCCAGGCCATCTCAGCCTGACCTTGTTAGACGATGACCTGCAGAGGATCAGGCAGAAGCCAGGGGCCAGGCCCCCTAGTGCCCCCAGGCAGGGAGTGCAGGGTCCACACCCTGGGCTGTGCCAGTCCAGCCCCTCTGCCAAATCACATGAGAAATGTCAGACCTGGAGGAAGATGGGCATCTGGGAACCCCGGTTTGTTCAGCACCAAGGGGGCAGCCTGTCCTGGGACGACTATTCTAAAGGGGCTGGAATGGGGTGTCAGGACTATGGCGGCACTGGGGGGGCTGTGCTGAGCCCCACTGGGCACTGAGGAGGTGGCCGTGACCGTGGGAGGAGCTGGATCTGTCCGAGGGTCCCTGGTGTACAATGGCTGGATGTGGAGCACAGGCAGGGCAGGCAGCCCCGCGTGTCCAGTGTGGGAGCTGCAGGGTAGGGAGGGCGCAGTGGTTCTGGGGGCAGCCCCGACAGGTGCCACCTCTGCAGGGCCCACGCTGGTGGCGTGGCTCGTGCTGCACCCCAAGCTGCTTTGATCTCTGTGGCATCTACGCCCCTGCCCCCCAGCCTTGCCTCCCAGGCACTGGCTCAGTGACCCTAGTGCCCAGATGCTGGGGCTCCCTCCCTCCAGAGACCCTGCCTCTGGCCCACCAGGGTGTCTCCACGCCCCCTCTGCCCGTGTGCCGAGTTGCTGCTCTGGCCCAGCTCCTGCAGCCCGGTCCTCTGTGTGGGAGGTGCTGGGAGGCCTGCGGTGACCACAGCCTTCCTGGACACCCTTGTCAGCAGCAGGGTCCATGTACCACAGCTGGCTGCAGAGGGGAGCCGGGCACAGGTAGAGGCTGGGCTGGGCAGTGCTGCACCCATAAGCCAGGCCCTTCCCACACCCCCAGTGCTGCAGTGTGGGGGCCTGGGGGAGACCCTCAGGGAAGCCCCCATCCTGCCACATGCTGGTCACAGCCTGGCCGGCCCCTGGGGCAGAGGGTCAGACTGTCCCCCGTGCCCACCGTGTGTGCCCTCTGGTACCCCTCCCTCTGGGGCTGCAATGCCCCTCCCAGCCGCTAGGGGGCGCCGCCCCTTTGGTCATCCAGCTGGGATGTCCCAGTCCAGCTGGGACTCTGGGGCTGTCCCTGGCTCCCAACCGCAGCGCCTTTCCTGCCAGCTTCTCTGGCTGGCCCTGCTGCGTGGCCACTGGGTGCCTGGCAGACAAGGCTCGTTTGTTTTTGTTTAGGATCTTGTGTTTCGGCTTCAGTCTGGCCTGTGATCTCTTTTATTTGAACACTGCCAAGGCTCACACCACACGCTCAGGGGACTTCCTCCTGTCATCGCGTTCTGAGGAGCATCTGCCAAGCATGGAATGAGCAGCTTTTTAGAAGTTGTGTTGAGCTCCCCGATGGGTCCCCTAGGCTAGTGTCTTCTTTACAGAACGGTCCTGGGTACTCACGTGAATGGTCTTAGGACTGATTGGGAACTTTACTTCTTCTTGAGTTACTTAGATGAAGTTATTATTTTATGAATTTGTGAAATTTTTCACGTTTACTGGAATAATGTCGTTTATGGGCACCTTAGTTCATTTTCTGTTATTATAACAAATTACCAGAGGTCAGGTAATTTATAAGAAATGGAAGTTATGGCTGTTGTGATCTGTCGACTTGGCTGGATTAAGAGCCCAGTGGGGCCAGTGGAGCACACCCCTGGGTGTGTCTGGGTGCTCATGGGGTGTGGCCTTGGGCTGTGGGTTTAGTCCCTGTCCCTTCCTGTCTGTTCCCCTGCTCTGCTCCCCATCCCTGTGAACTAAGCCTCTCGCTCCACCACAGTCCTTTTGTCACAATGCCCTGCCTTGGACGGCTGACCCTGTGACCTAAATTGCACCTCCCCTCCTTTAAGCGGAGGGTTTCAGCTCTTGCGTCCTAGCGATAGGACTGTGGTTAGTAGAGATTTGTTCAACTCACAGGTGGGGCCCACACAAAGGTGCCAGCCCCTTCTGGGCATCTGCTGAGGCTTTGTGCTGCACCTAAGACTGGTGCAGGGCTCCCACAGAGCCTAGGGCAGCTGCCCACCCAGGTCTCTCCCCCGCTGAAAGCTACCAATGCCACCTGGAGCCCTCACATGACCACAGCTGGTCTCCCGGGAGCCCCGTCTCCAGAGGTACTAACATGAGTCCCTGAGCCCGGATGCTTGGGGGACGCATCTGCCCATGGTGATGGCGTTGGTCTGGCTTTGCTGAGTGCCTGGGTGGCCTTTCAGTCACCACCAACCCAACTCGGAGTGAGAAGGTTATTCCAGCTCATGGCTTGGGAGGTCTCGGCTTGTGCTCCGTTGGCAGCTTGCTTTTGGCCTGTGGTTAGGCAGAAGTGGGGTAGGGAGTGCATGGCCAGGAAGAGAGAGGGCAGGGAGAGAGGGAAAACTCTGGGAGGCTGAAACAGGAGGGCGAGCTCCAGCCCAGCCTGGGTAGTTTAGTGAGTTAGTGAGACCCTGTTCTTGGGAGCAGTTCTCCATAATTTTAAAATAAAAAGCATGGGAGATTTTTTCCTCCAGGTGATGTTCCTTTGGCACACTTTTTTGTTGGATCTTACTGTTTTGGTGTCCAGCAACCTCCCACCTCGGGAGGCTGGGTATCTCACTAAAGATGTGGAGTCCTGGAGAAGGTTCCTTCCTGTTCTGGATCTTTCTATTGCTGTTGTTGGCCAACTTGGAGGGCCAGGGCCAAAATATCGGTGGTCTTCTCAGCCCAGTTACCTCTCCAGTTCCGGTCTCTAAACTTTGGTTGTTGAACCCCCAGAAGAGTAGAGCAACGACATTAATGTTGTAAGAGAAGTAGTGAACTGTTATAATTCTGCCTGGATATTAAGCATTTTGAGCAGACGATAAGAAAGATTTCTGTGGATGTTAAGCATTTTGGAATAAAAATATAGTTAGGAGACTGTTATCATTGAGGTTGTTGAACCCAGAAGAGTAGAGCAACGACATTAATGTTGTAAGAGAAGTAGTGAACTGTTATAATTCTGCCTGGATATTAAGCATTTTGAGCAGACGATAAGAAAGATTTCTGTGGATGTTAAGCATTTTGGAATAAAAATATAGTTAGGAGACTGTTATCATTGCCAGTCATGGTTGTTCTAGTGGTTGAAACCCTATAAAAAGTTAACAGAAAAAGGCTTTAAATCAAGGACATAACATTTTAGCATGACAATCGTGTTGTCATCTTTGTAACACACGAGTGGATATCTTAGTATACAAGAGCCATTGTTAAACATACAATTCTACATACCCTGTCTCAAAATAAAAAATTAAAAGGGCTGGGTATGTAGCTCAATGCAAAGGCCCAGGGTTCAATCCCCAGTCCCGCAAAGAGACAGGAGTGGGGGTGGCTACGGCCCATTGCCCCTCAAAGGCCCTGCCCTAGGACTAAGGACCTCCCATTAGCCCCGCCCAAGGCTCCACCCCCACTAGCGCCCTGTGCTGGCGACACAGTGGAACATCAGGAAGACTACAGAAGCCTGCTGTGCCCCAGTGCGGGCGGCTGGTGTGCGTGACCACCATGTGGCGCCTGCCTCTGCTCCGGAAGCCCCTCCTCGCTGTGTGACAGGAGGACGTGGTGTCCTCTGAGGGGACACGGTCCTGTCAGACTGGGCCACGCCCTGACTCAGGCCCCCTCTGTCACCTCTCGGAGGTCATGGTTGCTCTGTGGGCGCTGCTGGGCTGCAACCCCTTGTCCTGCCCAGTGGCTGGTAGAAAGGTTGGGTGGGCGGGTGCAGGGCATTCATTGGCCGGGCCCACGGGTGGTGGCCTCCCTTCTGTGTACCACTCTTGCCTTACCGCGGGGCACTGGGAAAGTGAATGGCCACGGGCAGCCAGGTTTTCTGCTCAGCTCACTGAGCCACCTGGTGCCCCACAAGCTCTGGTCCTCCCTGGGTGTGCAACACTGGTCATTTTGAAACACAGCTGGGTGTATTGGTGCACGCCTGTAGTCCCAGCACTTGGGAGGCTGAGGCAGGGGGATCTCTGTGGTTCCAGGCCAACTTGCACTCTATAGTGAGACCACAGTGAGACCAAAAAACTGAATATTTGAGACTGTGGCATTAGCTCATTTGGAGCTCAAGGTAACAATGGGCTGGAGGAGGAAGCTGAGAAGAGCTGCATGACCATGAGAGCGGTATCTGGCGGAAGTCCCTGTGGAGCTGTGGCCAGGGGCAGCATCCCGCGGCTGCGGGGCCGGGCTGGCGTGCAGGACAGTGCCGTGCTGTGGGTGCAGGCAGCGTGCAGGTGCCCTGCCCAAGCTGCGGGGCCGGGCTGGCGTGCAGGACAGGGCCGTGCTGTGGGTGCAGGCAGCGTGCAGGTGCCCTGCCCAGCAGTGACCGCCTCCTGCTACCCTCCGCCCCACGGACCCGCTGTCCCTTCCCTGTTCCTGGAGAGGCCCAGCCTCCTTCCTGTCAGCTCGTTCTTGCTTCTGTGCATGGAGTGTGTGGCTGTTGACAACCAGGAATCCTGGCTGTAATGCTGGGAAACTGAGGCACAGAGTGGAGCAGGAGCCAGTCCGGGGTCGCCGCAGGACCAGCCCGCTTGCTTCCTCGAAGGTGGCTGTGCCTGCCATCCTCAGCCCTGTGGCTGCAGAGCTGTCCGGCCAGAGGGAGCAGGGAGGGAGCCGCCTGTCTCTACCACGTCCCCATTTCCGGACCAGTGCGGGAGCAGGTGCAGTGCCGGGCGTGGCCGAAGCCTGGGAATGCACAGGGCCCTGCCCCTCCCTGGGGGGACCAGCGAGTGCCAGGCGCTCGGGGCGGTGGGTGTGTCCATGGCGACAGCCCCTAGGCCACCCACTCCCAGTGGCTGTCGTGGGCCTCTGAGGCAGCAACTGTCAGGCATGGATGGCAGGGGACACAAGGGCATCTTCCTGTGCCCACTGTTCTCCTGCTCCCACCGGGACAGCATCAGAATTGACTGGCTGCTCCGGTGTGAGCAAGGGGATTGGCCCTGGCCCTGAGTCTATGCCTCTCTGA